TTTTCAGTATCTATTAAATATTTGTATACGAATCGAAGTAAGTTATTTCTGAGGAAACCTTCTCCGATACGTAACACTGTATGTTGTGAACTGTGAACTGTGATCCCTGTGAGAAGGAAAGAGTTTTCTTCAAACATCAGGTATTGTTTTCAAAGTTGTAGAGCAGTCTGAAAAAATATTGAAATTACTTGTGATGAATGGTAGTAAGAAGCAAAATAATATTTTAGAAATAAAGTATCCTTGCTGTTTCGAGAGTGTTTTCTAAGTTGCTCGTCCCACAACTGCCCCATAATTTTCATTACGAATTTTGGCACTCAGAAGACTTTCGTGAAACTCAACTAGTGAAAAAAAAAGCTGTCAAGTATCTCAACATTGCAATTTCGATGGAAAGATCATTTCAGTTACATTAATTACGAGAATCAATCAAGAAGTGATTGACATGAGATTTTACGTATTTAAAACATTTATTTTGGTCGGAATTTTAGAAAATATCGAAACAATTGGCAAAGATAACTAATTTGGGAAAATAAACATTTACTTATGCTCTTTTGAATTCTATACTGCTTGTTCTTTAAAATCACAACATTGCTTACAAATGGATTTGAAAGGGAGATTCTCCCCCCCCCTACGCGCTGTCAATCAAACATAGTTTGAACCCATTTGCTATTCATCGTTATCTTCTGTAGATCTTTGTTTGAGAAAAAAATGCTAAACTGAGTTAATCGGACGATGTTTTCGTAGCCGAAGGCACTTTTGGCAGGAGTTACAAAAACAAAGTCCGCGTAGTAGGATCTTGGCCCAAGGCAGAATAAACTACATCCATACCGGATTTCATTTCGGTTTGCCGCCAGCGAAGCGAAATCCCGTACTTTATGAATGAATGATTCAAGCGATGCGAGGTTGCGCGAGGAACGCGGTTGAACATCGCTGCAGGTGTTCCTGCCACTAATAAAGGTGGAGCTCGTGCCAGCGAGTTCGCGAACGAGAAATAACTTCCTGTAAACCGGTCTTAATGGCGTGTACTGCCCAGGAGAGTTAAGAGTTATGTTAATGAAAATGCCTCAAGCCAGAAATACTTGAGGGAATAACAGAAGTAACGAGATTTGACAGTATGGGAGCTTTAAAGTTACGGTAAAATATTCCTGTGCTCAATGAAAAAGATGGTTTGTGCGTTTTGATACCGTCTTTCGTGAGTACAGCAAAACTTTATTGTATGCATAGAAAGAACGTTCGCATTTTTATTTCAACAAACAAGCAAGAGTGTGATGTAAGCGGGTGGTGCTCCTGATTCGATGTGTGCTCGTTTAACATTAAACTGACCAGTAAGTTTACGCCATTTATTTATTAATGCGTACTTTTTCACAAACTACATGATTTCAAAATACCAGCGATGGAATAATTACTGTGGAGTGTATATCGCAAGAACAGACTAATACTAATATGCACATTTTAAAAATAGAAGATCGAGATTCTGTTGAGCGATGCTACTAATGATAATAGACTGATTGAATTTGCCTTTTACTTCGGTTGATTCTTTTGGACAAAATATAAACTCAACGACTTTAAATGATTGTAACAGGGATTCTCCGGGGCGTTTGTTGAAAGGGACGTTTGACCGATGAGGTCGCCAAGGTGGTTGCAGTGCTTTGCGCCTTGCGGCATGGAGTCAGCAGAAGTACTCGGTCCCGCGCCAAGATCGTTCCTTTACGTTTTTTTTCGCACGTTTTCTCCAAATTTAAATTATTTTGTGGTGTTAATTATTCATCAAATTCCAACATATGTGGTATTAATGAATTTATTTTCATACGACCTTTCTGATCATGTAAAAATAAGTATTGTGTTCTATTAAAAAAGGCAGTTAGTCCATTTCCTGAAAATAAAAAAAAACGATCAAAAATATACTGACAACTGATGAGTATTTAGGGATCATTTGGTGTTACGTTTTTGTCAATATCTGGAACCGATAAGAAAATATTCGAGAAGGACGACTGTATTTACTAGCCCTATATATTTTGATTTTTGGGGTACTGTGCATTGTTTCCATAACGGTTATTTGCATTGTTTTTAAACGGTTATTTTTTCAAAAACCTGCTCCAAATTTTTCTTTAAATCTTCTCCTCATAGTATGTATCAAAGTTATAAAATTGATGTAAGTCCCATTTCCGGCGAACTCTCAAAATTGAAAACGGAGAGTTATGTCTCAAATAAAATCTGTTATAAAATACGAAATTTTAAGTCCAAATTTGCAAAGACCAAACTTGAATCTAAAGACATATATACTTTTTTCGAAAAACAAACGGATAACTTTCGCGTAATTTTTGCTTGATGTTAAAGCAATGTAAAAAAAAAAGAGTTTCTCAAAAAGGGTTTTCAAATTTTTTTCTTTTTCACGAGTAGAAAATGGGACTTTTAAAAGGATAACTCGGATATCATTTGAGATTAACTCTCTGAGTTTTTGAAAATTGCACGTGGTAGAATTATTGCGAGAAAGTGTGTGCTATTAGTTTCGTATGAAAGTATGTTTGGAGGTGTAAGGAGCTCTAGTGATCCGTTCTCCCGCTCGGGGCAAAGGTGTGTCATCTGTCTGGAGGTGCGGATCCCTCCGGGATCTGGCGTAGGCCGTCGCGGGCGAGGGTTCAGAAGCGGCTCAACGTAGGCTCCCGGCGCCCGGCGCCTTTCTTCCTCCCTCCCTCCCTCCATCCCTCCCCCCCTCCATCGCCCTCCCACACTCCCTCCCTTACACACATAAACACTTGCACTTCACTGCCACGCATGTCGTAGCGCTTAGAACTTGTCCGGGCTGGGGTGGATCCCCGATGAAGGGACCGCAAGCCGATATGTTGGTGGGCACAGTCCAACTGGGGGGAGATATAGTATGCACTACACCCACGGGGCTGTGATCGCAGCATATGATGCGCCCGTAACAGAAAATAATTAATCAACCGCAAGCTCAGCCGCCCTTTCGCCTTCGCCTTCGGCGCCGCCGCAGATGGTCCTGCGTCCGCTCGCGATGGCCCTTTTTCCATTCCGACCCCGTCTTCGTCCTACCCCCCCTCCCGTTCGCTCAGTAAGCTTCCCGCCATCATCCTTCCCTGACCTTCGCCCGGTGGCTCATCCCACGCCAGCCGCCTTACTCCATTACCGCATCCTTTCACTTACCGATAGCGTCTCCGGCGTAAGTCATCTCTGCTCGTCGCGTTGTACCGTCCCCCTTTCTCATCTAGTTCACTCTCCGCGTCGTCGCTTTCTCTTTTTGTTCAACCTTCTCCCTCTCTCGCTCGCTCACTCGGTCATTTCTTCTGGTTACTCTGTCTCACGTTTCACCTTCGCGGGCGACCCGTCTCCGCTCGCCGGAGTCCTCGTTTGCCGTCCTCTGGCCCCGTAATTCCCCGCCCTCCCCGGAATCTGAAACTTGAAGGTAAAAACACATAAAAAGAAGAACCGAACCTCTTGAAAAATTGCAACATTTAGATGTAACCACATATGATCTTGTTCAATTTTTTTAGGTGAATATTTATTCGATTAAGGTATATTTAGCGTTATTTATTCATTTAGGTATTATTTTGTGACAAAATTCAAGTAACACAGAAGGATGTTAACTATTAGAGGCAATAAGAGCTTTGTCAGTAGGGAACACTAGCTAACATTTGATCATTTCCTTAATGTACCCATACATACTGTTACGTTGAAGAGCGAATGGATAGCATAAAATATACATTACGACATAAGCGGCATTACGTGAGAAATTTTAATTTACACTCGCGCTAAAAACGCGCTCAGAAACATAAACCATTCGAAAATATGTTTTTTCCTAGCCACTGTTAATAACTATTTTAATATTTTACATCTTCACCATGTATCGCCGTTGTACCTTAACAATTACGTGGTAATATGTTTCAGTTCCAATTGCCAACTTCCCTTTGAGGTCCCAGGCTACTTACGCAAGAAGTAATTTACGAAACATCTGATTTCAAAAAATCAAAACATCATTTGTAGCATTACTCTGCTAGTTACCTATGGATCTCAAACAATAAGTGGCAACTGAGAAACGAAATTCATATTCCGATAGAAATTAACACTTACAACGGTTGACCAGGGTGAAATATAAAGGGCTAACCCTCACACGAGTCTCCGAATCCAAAGCCATTCGAAAAGTGTGAACTGTCTCCGTATGTAATGCTTCATCATACAGTAGATCAACATCACTCCTGGCAGAGCAGTCAATTCTTATACAAACATCATTTGTTTTATTATTGATTATTATTTATTATTATCTATTGTGTTGTTATTGTTATTATTTATTAGTGATATTATTATTATTGATATTATGTTATCGATATTAATGTGAGAATTGAGCTACTTGGTAGCTCGAATGTCGAGCAGCGGAGGGCAAAGCGCCGGGAGAGGCCGCGTTCGCCGAGCGCCTGGAGCGGCCGGTGCGGTGCCGCGTCGCCGCGTCGGGGCCCTCGGGCGGACGTCATCGCATCGCTGCCGACGATTTGCACCCTCCGTGGATCCCGCGCCCTTGGCGCCCTACGCCCTCCCCTCGCTCTCTGCCCACCTGCGGGCCGCCGTCGCCCCCGCCCGCCCGCCCCCGCCCGC